GTAAAATCGCGTACATAAAACACGCGATTGCATCTTGCGATTTATAGGCGACTGCATCGATATAAACGCGGGTTTCAAATTCAAATTCAAATTCAAAATAATCTTTATTTCATAGGTAAGCATTATTACACTTGAAATCGTCACAATGGTTAAACTCTACCGCTCATTCGTAAGGCAGATTCCCCTGAGAAGAATGAGCAAGAAACTCTAGGAGTTGCTCTTTGTAAATAACATTTACAATATTTTTTTATTTGAAACATCAGATTGAGACTACCTCCATGAGCTAAACGGGTTACTACCACGGATTTTTGTCATCCAAGTACGCAGAAGTTGTATAATAACCTTTAGTATAAAGTTTTTGTTTCACTATAGTTTTAAACCTCGTGAAAGGCAAATTTTGTATATCAACCGGAATCTTGTTATAGAAGCGTATACATTGCCCCTTAAATGATTGTTTGACTTTGTGAAGACGACTATCAAGAAAAGCTAGTTTATTTTTATTCCTCGTATTAATGTTATGTCTGTCACTATTTTTCATAAAGAAATTACTATTCCTTTTAACATAAATTATATTTTCATAAATGTATTGTGAGGCTAGTGTAAGAATGTTAATTTCCTTAAACTTATCTCTCAAAGATACTTTGGGGCCCAGATTGTAAATTGCCCTAACTGCACGTTTCTGCAGGACAAAGATTCTATTGATATCGGCGGCATTACCCCAAAGCAAAATGCCGTATGTCATTAGACTGTGAAAGTAGCTGAAGTAAACCAATCTAGCGGTTTCGACGTCTGAAAGTTTCCTTATTTTTTTAATCGCGTACACTGCAGAGCTGAGCCGTTTTGACAACTTACTTATATGGGGACCCCATTGCAATTTAGCATCTAACGTTATACCTAGAAATACAACTGTATCCACAAGATTAAATTTTTCGTTTCTAACTACAATGTTTGTAACCGTCTCTCTAACATTGGGTAATGTAAACTTCACACAATTTGTTTTTTTCTCATTAAGAAGTAGGTTATTAACAGCAAACCAATCAACTACTTTAGATATAGCATTGTTCACATCGTCGTAGGAACATTGGTGCCTTTTAACTTTAAATAATAAGGAAGTATCATCAGCAAACAATACTATCTCATGTTTTATACCCTCCATAAGGCTAGGTAAGTCATTAATATAAACTAAAAATAAAAATGGGCCTAGAATTGAACCTTGAGGGACACCCATGCTAATTGCAGATCCTGACGATCTCGTACCGTTAACATCGACCCTCTGTACCCTACCACGCAAATACGATTTAAGAAGGTCGAGATCACGTCCCGCCACACCATAATGGCGAAGTTTCCTGACCAGTGTATCATGGTGCACACAATCAAAAGCTTTGGAAAGGTCACAGAATACACCAATAGCATCATGTGATACTTCCCATGCATCAAATATATGATTAATCAACTCGACACCAGCGTCGGTTGTAGAGCGACCCCGAGTGAAACCAAATTGTTTAGGAGACATTAAATTATTACTATAAAAATGTGCAAACATCTGATTTAGAATAATTTTTTCAAATATTTTACTGAGAGTTGGTAGTATTGATATAGGTCTGAAATTGGTGGGGTCAGAAATACTACCAGATTTGAAAAGTGGAATAACTTTACTTTGCTTCATGAGGTCAGGAAAGACACCATCATCAACACATTTATTAAAGACACAGGCTAAGTAAGGCGCAATACAATCAACTATAGAACTAATTACTCTGACTGAAAGACCATCAAGATCAGCAGTATTTTTTATATTTATAGACTTAAAGGCTTTAACAATATCGTTTGGAAATACATGACGGAACCTTAAATTAGTGATACTAACTGCATTATTTTCTTTTAGTAAGGATTCAGCGGCCGTGGGAGATGAATTTAACGAATTAGTAGTCAAAATTGGAATGTCGGTAAAAAAATTTTCAAATATTTTAGCAACTTCTGCGTCTGTGTTTACAATTTTGTCATTAAATCTTAGTTGAAAATCTAAGTTACGAGGTTTGACCCTTCAAGTTTCGCTATTTATAATATTCCAAGTCGTTTTTACTACATTCGCGCTGCTTTTTATTTTATTACTAATAAACATTGCTTTGGCTGCCACACAAACACGTTTAAACATTTTCGAATATTTCCTAACAAAATCATTAAAACTGTTACTAGTGTTATAAGTTCTTTCATCGTAAAGATCATATAGCCTTTGTCTACTTTTGTGAATTCCCACAGTCGCCCATTCACTAAATTTCAATGAATTATTAATAGTTATGATTTTGGACTTAAAAACATTATCACGTTCACTTTTCACTATGTTGAAAACTGAATTATACAATTTATTGGGATCGTTAACGTACGGAATGTCAGTTAGTTTAAGCATTACGTTATTTCTATAAGCTTTAAGTCGACCATTATTTATCGGAACACATGTGATATCCTTTTTCGGCATTTTGTCAACAGTTATATTAAAAGTGGCCAATTGACCGCAGTGATCTGAAGTTAATTTATTTATAATAGATTTATTACTAGGTACGGCGTTGGTATAAATGTTGTCTAAACAAGTGGCAGTAGTAGAAGAAGTTTGTATCGAGTAGTAGAAGTTTGTATCAATGCAGCCGCACGCTTGCATCGCTGCTTGGAATCGCGCGCGTGTGTAAAGGTATACGATTAGCGACCGCATCGCGTCGCCGTGTGTAACCGCTTTTTTAGCAGCGCGTCAGCAATTCAATCGCAATAAAGTCGCCAGTCTTTAGGGAGTCATACATTCTATCATCAACCAATTTATACGTTCCACTGCTGGGCACGAGTCTCCTCACAGGCGGGTTGGGATTTATGTTTTACAAGGACTGTAAACATTCGAAGATTTCATCACGATGTTGTCCTTCACCGAAAAGTTCATAATAATAAGTTCCGAGAAACTCAAGAGCCGAGATTCGAACCCACGGCCTCTACTTGACAGGCGGTAGGTCAAACGAGACTATCACGGCTTCTCTTTAGGGAGTCACCACACTTATCGACACGGAAACGCTTTAATGTCTATGCAATAAGAGCGAAAAAGACGCTTCTGCTCGGCCCGCCGATTAACTTTTACTAGTAAACGTCGCTTAAATTAGAGACCCTAATTCCCTAAGTCTTATTACACCTCCCTAAATTAGAGTTAGGGTTCCTTGAAGTCGGGTAGTGTAATTATTAAGCGTTTAAAAGTCGTATGTAACAAACAGCTCTAATTACTTTGGCTCCGCGCGGTTAGTGCTTGAGTCGACGACAGTAGGCACAGTTAAAGGTGAATGGTTGTATGCTTAGACACGGCTGTTAAATGGAGAGTCATTGATCTACGATTAACTAACAATTAACTAATCCCGTTCCCAAATTTCCTTTTTATAAGTTTTCCCGTTTTAAAGACAAAAGATAAAATCGTTCACCGCGGAAAGCCGAGAACAAAAAAATGCGTAACACATTAGAGAAACGCAAAAGAATTTAAAAATTTCAAATGTTTTAATAAATAATTTTTTTTTCTTATTTTTTTAGTTTTCGCGGTTAGCCCTAATATTATTGTGGGGGCGGATTATGAGAAAAAAACGCCTGGTTGTAAATTGAGCTTCTTGGTCTTGGTTTTGCTTGGATCGCGGTGAGATTTGGAACGCCTTCGGAGTCTTGTGCAGTCAATTTTGGAATGTCGTTCCGCTCCCAACGCTCCGCTTTTTATATCATCGCTGGCCCGCCGTGCCGCTCGCATTCTATTCAAGTGTGCGAGCGGGACGGCACCAATGCAGGAGCGGGACGGGAGAACCCTACAGACTCCAAGCAAAACCCCTCTCTCCCTCTCGTTTATTTACCAAACCTTAAACTAAATTAACAACACCAAATTATAATAATAAATCACAATAATAAATTTACAATATTAAAAATCACATGGGCGCGAACACGTTTTCGTCCTGAACATATTCTCCCGCCGCAGCTTGTAGCTGGAAAGTCCTAGGGTTCGCGCTTCGTTGTCTCGTTGCCTCCCGTTTCAATGATTACCAGCTTCTTTGTAGGACGGCGCAGAACTCCTCTGTTTGTCCGCACGTCGACCGCCCTTATTTCTCCGTCGGGGCCTGGGTATGTAGCCACAATGATGCCGCGGGGCCAGGTGTTGCGTGGTAGCGTCCCGTCGGCTATGAACACCAAGTCTCCCAGTTGTAGCGCGCCGTTGGTGGCTCTCGGAGTTCGTCTGTGCTGGAGATCAGGGAGGTATTCTCTTATCCAGCGTGACCAGAACATGTCGGCCAGTCGTTGGCTGGTCCGCCAGATCTTGCGCCCGTCGATGTCAGTGTCCGTGAAGGCTCCAGGCAGTGGTACTCGTGAGGGACCCCCCAGTAGGAAGTGGTTCGGAGTCAGGGGGTTCTCGTCTTCTGGAGCAGTGGATACATGGGTGAGAGGGCGGCTGTTGAGGGTGTGCTCTGCCTCGACCAATAGAGTGTGCAGGACCTCTTCTTTCGGGGCGCGTTCGTGCAGTACGGTGTACAGAGCTGTTTTGATGCTTCGTACCAGACGCTCCCATGCTCCTCCCATGAACGGTGCGCTCGGCGGTATGTATCTCCACTTGATGAACCGGATACTGGCGTCTTCCTGTATAGCTTCTAGTGCTGCCCTCTGTAGCTCGGCGTCCGCGCCGCGGAGATTGGTTCCCTGGTCAGACCACAGCTCCGTCGGGCATCCGCGTCGCGATATGAAGCGACAGAGTGCCATGATGGCGGAGTCGGTGCTCAGATCTCCGGCGACCTCGACGTGGACCGCTCTCGTGGTTAGGCAGGTGAAGATCGCTCCGTATCTTTTTTGTCGTGTGCGGCCTACTGTGACTTGGAGTGGGCCGAAGAAATCCAGCCCGGTGTATGTGAACGGGCGTTGATGGTGAGCGAGGCGGCTGGGCGGATGGTTTCCAGTCGAGGGTTGTGGAGGCGTGGCTCTCATGATGCGGCACACTCGGCAACGTTTCAGTTCGCTTCGCACAGCGTTGCGTAGTCGTAGGAGCCAGTAGTGCTGTCGTACCTCGCTGGTGGTGATGCCGAAGCCTCCGTGGTGCGTCTGTTTGTGTATCCAGGCGATATACAGTCGCACCCACGGGTGGTCTCCATCAAGCACGGCTGGTGACCGTTGTTGCTCACTGTGTGTAACTGGATGCCGCGCGCGTGACTAAGTTTCATATAGCAGCGCGGTACTTTTATCTTGGCGAGTCGTCGTACATCTTCCAGCCATCTGCTCCAGGCGTCCGCTTCGGGCGCTTCTAACGGGGTGTCCCAATCGATGCCTGAGCGCCACGTGTCTTGTATGATGCGCTTCGCTTGTATGGTGACTGGAGTGGCGATGCCCAATGGATCAAATATGGACATCGTAGTGCGTAGCGCCTCCCTTTTAGTTGGTGTTCTTGCCCCGTTGTATACTTCCGCCGGTGTTTTGTGAGTGTTGATGTTGAAAGACAGGGTGTCTTCCTCTGGTTGCCACACCATGCCCAGTACTTTCGTGCTGTCCAGTTGTAGTATGTCGCCTTTCGACCCCGGTGATAGCGTGCTTAGTACTCGGCGCGAGTTTGATGCCCAACGTTGCAGGAAGTAGTTCGCGCGGCTGTGTATGTACGCAACTTGTGTGGATATGCGTACGGCCGCTCCTTCGTCGTCAAAACTCGCTAGGTAGTCGTCGACGTAATGGTTGTCGATGATTGCCGCTGTCGCCTCGGGGTACTGAGCACGAAAGTGTTCCGCGTTCTTGTCCTTTACGTAGATAGCAGTACAGGGAGATGATGTGGCGCCGAATATGACACTCTTCATACGGTACTCGGTCGGTTGGCGATCTCGGTCGTCTCCTCTCCACAGGAAGCGTTGCATGTCTCTATCTTCCTCTCGTATGGTCACACGAAGAAACATGTCTCTGATGTCGGCTGCTACCGCTACTGGTCGCTGACGGAACTTCATCAACACGCCGGGCAGGGATTGTATTAAGTCCGGGCCTGGTAGTAGCATGTCGTTCAGGCTGACTCCTTTGGCTTTGGCAGCGGCGTCGTGGACCAATCTGAGCTTCTCTGGCTTCTGTGGATTGATGACGGCGAAATGGGGTAAATACCAAGTCTTCGGGTTCTTATGGGGTGGCGCTATTTCTGCGTAGTCGTTGTCGAACAGTGTTTGTAACTGTTTTTCGTATCTCTTTTTCAGTACCTCGTCGCGGTCGAGTTTCTTTTCAACTAGTTCCAATCTTCTTAACGCCACGTCGTAGCTGTCAGGTGGATGAACGTGCTCGTTACGCCATAGAAGACCGGTTTCAAAGCCTCCCGCCGGTAAACGGCGGGTTTTATCTTCTAGTTGTTGCAGTGCTCGTCGCTCGTCGTCGTTGTGGCTGCGTCTCGGTGTGACAGCCAATGACTCGAGGCTGAAGTGTTCCCTCATCATCTGCTCCATGGACTCTTCATCATCAGGGGCGACAGCGTGGAGTACTTTGTGGGTGTTGACTCTTTCACTCGATCTCTTAGTGCCGTGTAGAACCCAACCTAAATCGGTGAGTGTTGCGATCGGTTGGTGTCGGTCCCCTTGTCGCACGGCATGTGTGAGTAAAAGATGCCAGTTGTCTTGACCCAGCAGTATCGTAGGTGATCCCTCTTCGTAGATGAGATGCTCTTCTAAGTCGTGCAGGTGGGGGCAAGCTCGTATGACGTTACGTGGCACTGCTTGCGGCGATAGCTTCAAGTTGTTCATGGTGCGGGCTGTTATTGTATGCTCATTCGTGTCGCGCCCGCGCAGAGAAATGCGTACTTGTTGCGATTCGCCAACGTTGATTCGCGTGCCGGCTACACCCTCAATGTAAAAGGGTGCTGGTGTACCCGCTGCGCCGATCCTTCTTGCTAGCGCCGCCTCAATCAGGCTGCACGTTGACCCGTCGTCCAGTAGTGCGAGTGCGTTGCACGTACCCTTGGGGCCCCTCACTTGCACAGGGAGTACCTTCAGTAGCGCGGTGGTGTTGCTTCTGTCTTTTGCTGATGCCACAACAAATGATGCAGGAGCTTCTTTCTTCTCCTTTGATGAGGGTGGAGTGCCATGCAGCAGTGAATGATGCATGTACTCGCAACCGTCGATGCCGCACCTCTTGTTCTTACACGTATGGCGAAATTTGCGTGTTCGTAAACAGCGGAAACATAGCCTGTGTTTGCGTGCTACGTCCCACCTGGTGGTCACATCTGCTGTCTTCATTTCGTCGCATTGCGCCGCATGATGACCCGTCTTGTCGCAAATAGGACACGTAGTAACTTGTTCGTGCGCGGCTGGCTTCGCTATTTGAGTGTGGCAGCTCTTCATGGGTCTCCTGCCTGCTGGCTCCCGCCGGTCTTCCACAGGTGTGTTCTCGACGGGCGCGTAGCTCCCACAACGTGCAGCTGTGCGTTGCATGAACTCGGTCAGGGTTACTAGGTCAGGTTGGTATTCTGGCTGTTCCGCAGCAAAGTCATAGTATCGATAGCGCAATGCTGAAGGCAGCTTCTCAACCACGGCGCGTACTATCTCGGCATTGTGTAGATAATGCGGTCTGTTTAGCGCCTTCAATGTGGCCGTGACGTTGATGATCTTCGATGCGAAGTTGCAGATGTCTCTCGGATGTTCGCCCAGACGTGGAAGGGTGCGTAGCTTACTCAGTTCGGCCAGTGCGAGCGCGTCCGAACGACCGAACCTTGATGTCAGTAAGCTCATTACTTCGTTGGAGGACGTGGCTCCGACGAATAAACATTGAGCTGCTTCCCTAGCGGTGCCTTTCAAGCTCCTCCGGAGCCTCGCCAGGTTCTCTTGTTCTGTAAGCAGTCCTGCAGATTCCTCATAGGCTGTCTTGAACGGCAGCCAGTCGCTTGACGAACCGTTGAATATGGGTAATTCTTGAAGTCTTGCAGTAGTGGGTTGAATCGCTCGTGCCGCAGTAGTGATCGCCGTTGCTAACTTTTCGTAACATATGTCGCTCGGCGGCTTATGTTCCAGGTGGCCGTCGTTGTTACGATAGTATTGCGGCTGTTGTCTCTCACTTGTGTGCGTGACGTATGTAGAGGGGGGCGCTCCCCCCGCGTAGTTGGTGGGGGGGCACCTGGTCCCAGCTGTTGCAGGTGCCGCGTACGTGGAGATTTTTTCCTGTCGAATGACGTCGCGCGTCGGCGGCGGCGCCTGTGATTCGGCAGGTCTTCCCTTCAATATATCTTCCTTCGTACGTGTGGCGGCAGTGTAGTCTTCCTGCTCTTCTCTTCTCAACCCAATAGTGCTTGTGCGAATCCACTCCGATGTGCGTTCCTCGCGGATCGTGGCTTCCTCTGGATCGTCTTCGTCCGATTCCTCTTCCATTGCCGCGATCTTTGCAGATAATAAATCGATTTTCAGCTTCAATAATTCTTGTTGCGCTTCCGCTAGCTTCTTACGACGACTGTTCGAAGAACCGGATCGAAAAGATCGAACAGATTTAGGAGAGCATATTCTCCGTGGTGCTTCGCTTGTAGTGGCGCCGGCTTCGGGTCTCTCTACTAGTTGGGAGACTGGCGAGGTGGCAGTCGGCGCAGCGTCGATTTGTCTGATCGTCACGTCGGTTTCCACAGTTGCACCGGTTGTACGTGTGGCGTACGTGGAGCGCGTGTGTTCTGAAGTTGTAGCGGTCTTTTCGGTCCCCGTGATCGTGTCGGTGCCCGTCGAACAGGTTGGAGCAGTGGACGAGGATTCTTGGGTATTCACGGGGTATGATTTTGCGCTTCTGGTAACTGGCATTGTTCTTTCTTGATGTAATCCGGCTGCTGAAGGACCAGAAAATGTGGGGGCGGATTATGAGAAAAAAA